CACAGCCGGCCAGAGGTGGATGGGAAACCACGCTCCTTTGGTGAGTCCCCAGGAGGCAGCAATCTGCAAACATCATGGGGGATGGAGACAGGTGGAGCAGAGAGGCTGCTACCCGCTTCTACCTGCCCACAAGGCTCCGTGCAGCACGGAGACCAGAAGCCCAAAGGGGCGTCTGTGAGTCCGAGGTGGGCAGCTAGAGTCCTGGGAGGCTCTGGGACCTCAGGCATCTTTCCAGACCAGAATTCTGGCTCTGCGCCTTACTAAGGACATCAGTTTGGGTAGGGTGGGCTTTGCCAAGGTAACACACACGCTCGTAATTTCAGTGGCTCAACACAATGAAAGTTCATTCCTCGCGTACGCTCTAAACATCAACTTGTGTGCTGTGCCAGGGGCGCAGAAAGCTTCCACCTACAAGTGATACATGTGAGCTCTGGTCACATTTCATTGGCCAAAGGACGTCACAGGGCCACGGCTAACACCAGAGTGAGGGCATGCGGCCTGCCCTGTGCCAGAGGCAGAGGGCCAGAAATATTTGGTGGTGGCGCTAATGACCACGACACTAGCCAAGTGACCTGTGAGCCCATTTCCTCTTCTGCAAAATGAGAACAATGACAGTGTTTTCCTCACAGACTGTTGTGAGGATTATAAAAAACACACGTGGGCTTCCCTGGTGGCGCAGCGGCTGAGAGTCCGCCTGCCGATGCGGGGGACGCGGGTTCGTGCCCCGGTCCGGGAAGATCCCACATGCCTGCGGAGCGGCCGGGCCCCTGAGCCATGGCCGCTGAGCCTGCGCGTCCGGAGCCTGTTGCTCCGCAACGGGAGAGGCCACAACAGTGAGAGGCCCGCGTACCGCAAAAACAAACAAAAAAACACACGAAACACCCTCGGCACAGGGTAGCCCTGGGGCGAGTGAAATGAAATTCAGATGCTCCTCCAGGTGGCCCCCAGGGAGGCTGAGCCCAGGGGCGTCCATGCTCTGCAGGGGTCTCCCACCGCTGCAGACACGCACCCGGCTCCTGGGGTCCCTCCGCCCAGCAGCCTCTGCAGAGGCTGGAAATTCTCCTCCCAGATCAACAAGGAGCCCCTCGGGTGGGCGGACCTCACCGCCACACCCCCTGCTCCCAGACTCACCCACACTCATCTCTGCCTCCCCGGTCAGTCTTCAGGACAAAGTCGCCCTCTGTCCAGTCAGAGGACAGGGGCGCATAAAAGAAGGGATGGAGATCCTGTGGAAACGAAGGAAATGCATTGCTATGCTGTGCAGGGCCCTGTGCTGGGTGGTCCACCCAGGTTACCCCTTTTTGACCTCATAATAGACCACGATGAGAGGGGTGTGACCGTCCTCCTTTTGAGGTTAGGGAACTTGCCCAGGTCACACAGCTTCAAGTGGCAGAGCTGGACCTGAACCCAGATCTCTGTGACTCAGGCTTCCAGGCTGTCTTCTGCTATTTTGTACAGACTTTACTTTTACACAAATCATGAGCTCACACACAGCCCAGGCTCGGGCGTTTGGCCTTCGGGTCCTATCACGCTGTGGTGGAAACTGCCCCCTCTGGGGCTTTTGGTGCCAGCTCAGAGGCTTACTGTGTGCCTCTGGACAAGTTTCTTCACCTCTCTGGGCCTCAGTTTCCTCACCTGAAGATGAGGGGCTAGCTGTTGAACTAGATGACCTTAGGGACTCTAGGATTCTGGGACATTGAGGCTGCCCACACCTGCTCCCGCCTTTGGCTCTAACACTGTATTAGAAAGCACTGTAGAGAGGAATGGACGAAGACCCAGTATTTGAGGTTACATGGTGTATTAAACCCTCATCAACATCTGAAACCAAAAATAGTGTGTTGTTGTTTTCTAAAGAGACTGTCGGGTATTTGTAATCCACAGCAGTTCTCTCTTTCTTGCTATTTATAACAAATTCTGGTTTCCTCTATGGCTAAGTCTGTCTCCTTGCATAACAGGGGAAGTCAGGCTGTGCCCTCGCTGAGCAGAGGTCCCCACGTCTCCACCCCAGTAGGCCCTCTCTGGGGTTCGGAGCTCCTGCTGGCGAGGAGGACTCTGGGCTCTGTCCCCGGCTGGGCCGCCTGCCAGCAGGGTTGGCTAAGGCCTGATCTCCCAGGAACCCAGCTGGGCAAGGCTGGGGGCTGCAGCTGGAGGCCGGGGGCTCTGTATCCTGCAGGCCCAGAACTCCAGGTCAACGCTCAGATACTTCCTGCAAATGCCAGTGCCTGGTGCTAATGCTAAAGAAGACCCACAGAACTGGACTGAAGTAAAGGCCACCATCGGGGAGCTTTCTGGGGCTTAAGGGTATCTCTTAGGTGTTTTGATTTGTTACTGTAGGGTTGAGAACCAGGCTGACCTGAGAGATCTGGGCCAGATGGCTGACCCCAGGTGCTGCCGGAGTATTGTCACCGCAGTAGCCTGGGAGCCTCCTGCCGCGGAGCTCCCCTCACAACTCCCCAGGATTCCATCTGCCCAGACGCCCACCGCTCCCGTCAGGAGAGATGATGGAGGTCCAAGACGCTTGGGGGAGGGCCTCGGCTCGGGACAAGAGCTGAGGCTCAAACTGCAGTCCAGTAGGGGGAAGGATGGGGCCAAACACAGGGTAGCGTGTGTGTGTGTGTGTGTGTGTGTGTGTGTGTGTGTGTGTGTGTGTGTGTTTAGGAGGGGTGGAGACACGCATGCAGGCAGCTGATGCAGAGAAGTCTCAGGGTTTGGGAAGGAGGGAAGGAAAGAGGGGCAGCGGGAGGAGGGGGTGGGGTGAGAACACACCTGAGGAGGCTGGACACCCACTAAGAGGGCGGGCGCCCTCCTGGGCTTCCCCTGACCCTGTAAGTAAATCTGCCCAGGCTGTGGTTTAGGCCTATTTACTACCCCTTGGATCCCCATCTGACCTTCTCGCCTCGGGACAGCAGCTCCAGGAGTCTGGACATCTAGCTGCCCTGCTGCTCCCTGGTGGCCCAGGAGGGAGCCGCCCTGAGGCCCTGACCTCTAGGAGGCCTGACTTTCCATCCCATGTGCCTCCCTGCTCCTCCTGGCTCGACACCCTGTGACCTGGAGGGATGGGGGGGTGGGGGGGGTGGGGAGACAGCGGCTCTGGTACCATTTCCCAGCAGCGAAACTGTGAGTCAGAAGGTCACCTACTGTCGGAAGTCAGAGAGGACCTCTGGAGGCAGGAAACCAGAGTCGGGCCCCGGAGAAGCCCAGAGTCTGGTGGGCAGGAGAACAGCTTTGCAAAATGCAACGTTGTCAAAAAAAAAAAAAAATGCAACGTTGTCATCCGAGAGCACAAGCCTGGAACACAAGCTGCAGAGCTGTGCTCCCTGGGCAGCTGCTCGGAGGTGATCTGGGAGCCTGGAACCGGACACATGAGGTCAAATCCTGGGTCTGTTGCTTATACGCTGGGTGAGACGCAGTGTCCCTGTTGGCAAAACTGAAAAAAGAATACAGCCTAGCTCACAGGGTGATGAGCGTGAAACGAGAACGTGCATGTAAGGTGCCTCGTTTGTGCGGCTGGTCCCTAAAGGTCAGTCTCCTCGCCACCTTACCTGGGTTGGAAGAGAACGTGCAGGATCTCACTCAGCACTCTGCTGGCCTCCTGCTCTGGCCGGAGCAACCTGCTGGCCCCAGAAAGACCTTCCTCTAGGTTCCAGTGCTAGTGGAAGGTGCGGGATCCCCCCGGGCTCCCCCACTCCCCCGCCCCTCCTCCACCCTGGGGCACTGCTGGTGGGCGCTGCTCTCTTCCATCAGGACTGGGTAGGGAGTCGGGGGTGCTGATTTGCTCTTGAAATGTGCCCCAGAAATCATCTTTATTTTTTGGTTTGACCATAGTAGGTCAAACCAAACTGGGATCTGGGCTACGGACGGAGCAGTTATCTGTGGGTTGGGTGGGGGAGGGAAAGAAAGCGGGATGGCACCAAAGCTGCATCCTGAGCCCCTAACCCATACCCTCTCCAAAATCTCTGGCATGGTTTCATCATCTGTGGGTGATGCAAGAGGCTTGGAGTCAGACTCCCCTTCCTCCCCCGCCGCCCCCCCGCCCCCCTAGAGCGCTCCTTCCACATCTGGAGCTGCAGCTGGGTCCTCCTCTTGGGCTCTTTCCAGGGAGGGAGCTGGTTGAAGTGGGCGGGGGGGCGGGGAGGGCAGCTGGTGAGGGGCCCTGTGAATGGCCCCAATGTTGGGAGCTGGGGGCAGGGAGATGGGGCCGGGCTCAGATGGAGGGCAGAGGGCCTGGAAAGGCCACTGTGACTTCCCACGGCACTGGCCACCGCCATCACCGCCCCGTGTTTCAACTTCCCAGGGCCTTGTCCTTTATACCCAAGCGAAGGCAGCTGCCCTCCACACCCCCTTCCCACTCACCTCTGCACAACCTCTACCCAGGTGCCCGGAGCTGAGTGCCCCCTTTGTTCCCTGTCTCCCTGGGGCAGCTCGGGCCTCCCACATTGACCCTCTGCCCCCATGGCCACAACAAGCAGAGTGTGAGCCAGGTGGGGAGAGGGGTCATCTGTGGGTCACAAAGGTCACTGGAGCCTCCGTGGTCTCACAGAAGGGAGGGGCCGTCTGGCCGGGGATCAACCCTAAGATGAACTTTAGCGTTCATCTAAAGTTGTAGGGAAGGGTGCAGGGTGTAGGTGGAGGGAATTTTAGTTAGACACTAGCAAGAATCCCCCTCAATAAAGGTTGGCAAATTCACTGGAATAAATGCAGAAAGGAGGCTTTCCGAGCGCTTTCAGAATACAAACCGCCAGGCGCTGTGGGACCCTTTGCAGAGAAGCGCTGGGCCCAGAGACCCGGGTTCTTACCCTGGCTTAGCCACTAACTCCTGTGTAACCTCGGTAGTTCCCCTCTCTGCGTACCGGCTTCCGCATTAATGCGCTGGGGTCCCACCGAGGCTGAGGGTCTGCGGCTCCGGGGTCCGAGGCTCCGGCGCGGTCAGCTCCTCGGCCCGCGTCACGCCCTCCGCGCCCCACAGGACACCCGGCCAGGCCCCCAGCAAACGCGTGGACATGAGCCGAGGGGTTCCTTTAAAGGCTTCCGCCCCGCCCCTGCTGCCGGCTCGGGCTTTCGATTGGTGCATCAGCTCGGGGGCGGAGCTAGGGGCGGAGCCTCCGCCGGGCCGGCCCCCGCCCCCTTTGTTCGTGCGGCGGCGGGAGGCGCTGCGGCGCTGGAGGTGCGCGCGCGGGAGCCGCGTCGTGGGGAGCGGGTCGCGCCCGGGCTGTCAGCTGGCTCCGCGCCGCCGCCCGATGGCTCGAGGGGGCGCGCGGGCCCGGCCCCGGGGGCGCCCGCGAGCATGTCACCTCCAGCCGCCGCAGCCGCCGTCCGCAGCGCCCGCGCCCTCGCCTCTAGCAGCCGCAGCCGCAGCCGCCGCCCGGGGCATTGGCCCCCAAGCCCCCGCCCCTGATCGACGCGGGACCCGGCGCCGAAGCACCATGGCGGGCCAGGGGGACTGCTGCGTCAAGGTGGCCGTCAGGTAGGACGGGCGGCGGGGCGCGTGCGCGGAGGACTCGGCTTTGTCTCGCGTGGGCGCGGGGCGGGGGTCCGGGGGTCCCGGGGAGCCGCTCGACCCGCAGTCGGCGTCCGCGGAGGTCGGGCTGGCCAGGCTGGAGGGCGCCGCGTGCTGGCCCGGCCCCCGCAGGGATCGGCGGCCCCGCGGGCGGCTGGAGGTGGCTTTGTTTGGGTGGTAATTTCGGGCCCCTCTTGGGAGCCCTTAATGATCAGAAAATCGAATAAACAAGGAAATCCGGTATTTCACACCCAGCCCTGGCCCAGGCCGGAGCGTCTGTGTGTTTCCTCTTCGCCTCCCCACGGGCTGCTGTCTCATGCGGGCGCAGTGCATGGGGGGAAATTTCCCTGCATCCACCCTAGCCGGCTGGTCCTGCGCTCATGGTCCAGCTGGGAAGGCAGCACGTCGCCCCCGGGCCGGTTCCGCAGACAAAGATCGAGTGCTGCACGAATGGAAGGGCTGGGATGGGACCTTGGCCCTCCTTGGGGAGTCCGCCGCTTTGGAGAGAACCCTGCCAGCCCTGTCCCAAGAGGGGCTGGGGCTGGGAAGGGAGGATGGGGTGTCTCCGAGGTTCTGCCTCTGAGAGGTCAAGATGCTGTGACGCTGATGCCCATCTTCAGGCCTTCAGACAGAACTGAGCGGGGCAGGGCCGCATGGACTTACCTGGGACTTGAAGGGACATAGAGGCAGAAGTGAGGTGGGCAGAGGACAGGGCACCTGGAGGTGCGGGGCTTTGTGTTGGGTGGGGACACTTCACGCCATGTCACCCCTCCGTTTTTGATTTGGGCTTTTCTCTTGGAGGGGGTCTGATGGTGGGAGAGTGCCAGTCTGGGACTGATCACCAATGAGGGATGGTGGAGGACATCATTCAGCCCTGTGTGATGGGGGTGGGAGTCTGAGACTGGATCTAGGGTGGGTCTGAGCAGGTCTCTGGTTTCCCTGGGTTGTAGATGACCCAGATTCCAGGATTCCAGGGCAGTCACTCGGAGATGACTATGGAAAACACCCCAGGGCAGGTGCCATCACCCCCCCACACACACACACACACACACACACACACCAGCCACCTGGCCAGCCCTCCGCAGCCTGGAGAGGGTCCGGGGACTGCTGACCACAGCTCTGGGGTTGAGGGAGGGAGACCGAGGTGCCCTCCCCCCACGTCCCCGGCTGCACTCAGAGCATCATTGGGCACAGACTTGTTGGCTCCGGACAGCCTGAGACAAAGAGGAGCCCCAAAGGTGCCTGGTGGGCTGGCTGGGCGGGGCCAGGCTGCTGCGTGGCTGACTGTGCGGCAGGATCCCCTGGGGGGGCGAGGGCGAGGGCACAGTGTGGGTGGGAGTGTGGGAGTGGGAAATGTAAATAAGACAGCTGCAGCAGAGTGGGAGAGTCTGGGCGCATCATAAAAGGAAACTGAACCGGCCCTGGGAAGGAGGGCACTGGGGGTGCCCCTCCCAGGGGGCTTTCCTTTAGACTCCATCTTACCCGAGAGAGCCAAACAAAGCCCCCCCCCTCCCAGCAGGGCCCCCAGGCTAGACTGGGGCAGCGTAAGACGTGGGACAGCCCATGGCCTTGGCACCTTGTGCAGAGTGACGAAGAGTTGGTGTTCCTTTCCCACCACCTCCAGAAGTTCCCGGGACCCTTCCCGCCCAGAGGGCACTGTGCCTGCCCACTGCTCCGACTTCTGCCAGTGACAGGCGTTATCTCTGCTTCCATGGAGATTGCCTTGGCGGGAGCTGGACGCCCCCACTCCTTGCCTCTGTTGCTGATCTGGTTGGAGGGGTGGGGAGATTTGAGCATCAGAAGAGCCGGGCTTTCAGGCCCTCCTGGAAGGTGAAGGCCCCACCCACTCCTCCCCTCCCACCCCAGCCCAAGCGCCCAGCCAGGCACACGCCAGACCTCCATGTGCAGCTGGCCGTGGAGGGCAGACAATGCCTGGACAGAGCCCAGTTTCTAATCACAAAGCTGAGGACAGGACCTGGCTTGGGCTGGGGCTGGGACGGGGAGCAGATGGTGCCACTGGGGGGCTGTAGGGGAGAATTCTCTGGGCTTTGGGGTCCCCTTCAACCCCCCATTCCCACCCTCGGCAATCACTTGTCCCACTTAAAGGACTGGGTGGTGGGCTGGAGTAGCGTAGAGCATTGCTGGGAAGACCCAAGGATTTGGAATTGCCAAGAGCCTAGCCCAGCACCGCACTGAGCTGTCTTTTTGGAAACCGTTTCTTATATCTAACTGAGAATTACTAATGGCAAGCCCTGGGTCCAACTCTTGAGACAGGGAGGCCGGGAAAGAGACAGACTTGGTCTGCGCAGTGGGTGGTGGTGGCGGGTGTTGTGTGTGTGTGTAAGGGTGGAGGTCCGGGAGCTGCTAGACTAGGTAAGAAGTGCTAGGCCCAGGGCTCTCGGCCCTATAATCTCTCCAGATGAGGATCAAAGCTGGCTTGTCTGCAGAGCCACGGGGAGGGCCAAGGGGGTGCAGAGCCAGAGGAGGTGACTTTCAGGACCTGGGGCTGTGGGATAAGGGGAGAAGGTGTACGTGTGAGCAGACCCCAAAGCCCCACCCCAGGCCACCCTGGAGTCTGGCCCATCTGCCCCTGAGCTCTGCACCGAGACTCCCAGGCCAGCCCCTCGAGCCTGCCCCGTGATACGTTTATCCATAAATCCCCTCGTACGATAAGGACTCTCTCAGCTCCGAGGCTGGCCTAGGGGCCTGCTTCTACCTGGGGCCGGGGTTTGGGGGGGACCCTGGGGAGAGCTGACCTGCCCCAGGCTGCAGAAATATAGGCCTGACTAGTGGGGGGAGAAGGGGAAGGGGTGGCTGTTAAGAAATGCCAGTTAGCAAAGTTGAGATTGGGGAAGGAAGCCAAGTCACGTGGTGCATTTATTTAAGACCCTTTCAAGCCCCCAGCTCTGAGCCCCCAGCCCGAGGGGAGCCCTCAGGGTGGCCTAACCCCCTTCCCCCTTATCTTTGCCCGGTTTCCTTAAGCTTCCTTCCTTAGTCTGCTAGGGTGGGGATGGGGGCTCTGCCCGTTCCACATCCATCCCTGGACACTGCAGGGTCAGGCAGGGGCTGGAAAGGGCACGGGGCGCACCAGCCAGGGGCCCAGGGACAGTCAGATGGCACCCCTGCTCTCTCCCTCGGGTTCTCTAGCGGCAGTTATTCCCCTGGATCCAGGCTCCTCTGAAGTCTTAGTGTCCGTCTAAATTTTGAATCAAGAGAATTGGTGGTTTGGGACAAAGACACTGAAGACAGAAAAAACTGAGTGAGGGTGGGGATGCCGTGCCTCAGAACCCCCCTTCCCCGCCCCCTGCCCCCACTCTGGCGGAGTCCAAGGCCAGTCAGGGCCAACCCGTGCCGCCTGTGGCCCCTCCTGTCCAGTTCACAGACCTGGGAAACTGAGGCCCAAGCAGGGCCTCCTGTGGCCACTGGAGACCTGAGAGTCCTGGTGGCGGGCTTCTGCTGCAGAAATAGGGCTTATGTCATCACCAGGAAGTACAGTGTAGTAACCGCAGGCCCCGGAAGTGTGCCCCCCACCCCGCCCCAGCCAGCCTGCCGGATTGGCTCTCAGCTTTTGAAGACCTCATAGAGGAGGGTGGGGGCAGGGGCTGAGGAAGTGGCAGAGGTGACATGTGCCTGGCACCTTTATTCCTACAGCTCTGCGGGCAGAGGTCAGGGCTGGGGCCCACGAAGTCGGTTACTGGCTGGGTCATGGGGCCCCATTTCTGTTTCTCCTTCTGGGCCTCAGTTTTACCCACTGTAGAATGGGATCAGCACTTTGTTCTGGTTTGGCCATTTGTGAAGAGGAGCGGTTTGGATGCAGCAGAAGGTGGCCAGTCCTCAAAGGGTGACTCTTGAGAAGCTAAGTGTGAATGAAATGTTTTAAAAATAAGCGCTTGGGCTTCCCTGGTGGCGCAGTGGTTGAGAGTCCGCCTGCCGATGCAGGGGACAGGGTTTGGGGGAGTTCCTCCCCCCCCCACTGGGTGGGAGCCGCCCTTCTCCCCTTTCCTGAGATTCACGCAGCTGCCCCTGGAATTTGTTTTCCTGCCTGAGTGCCACCTCGCCGCCCTCTAGGGAAGTTCCAGGACAGCCAAGTCTACACCCACCCCCACCCCAAGTGTCCGTGGGCTCCTGCCTCTCTCCTTTAACCTCTAGCCCTGCAGCTCCTTAGGAGGAGGCGGGGCCCTGAGAGGCTGCTGGGCTTCCTGCTGGGGCAGGGATGCTCGGCCTTGACCCCGGGGGCTAATTCTCTGTCCCAGGGGGATGGGGCGGTGGAGCTCAGTGGCAGGGGCCACGGAGCCCACAGCACGTGGCAGCACTGTTGGCTGCAGCGTCCTGTCCTCTGGAGCACTCCCTCTCTCCCCTTGGCTGCTCTGCGGGTGGAAGGGATGGAGGGCCACGGTTCCCTATCCCCAGAGCCCCGGATGCCTGAGCCCCTACCCCTCTGCCATCCTCGGTGGAAGCCCGCCATCAGAGTGGTGGCAGAGGCCACCAGTCCTTCCTCTAGGCCGGACTGGTCCTTCCTGAGGCCGGAGTTAAGGTGCCCCGAGGAGAGCCTGGCAGGGTGGCTGGGGACCAGGGCCAGCGGGGTGGGGACAGGCTCAGGCCAGGCGCCTGTTGCTGTGCATTCCTCAGCAGGGGAGTGTCCCCAGGGCCCAGTCCCCACTGAGCTGTCCCCCACCAGATGCAGATGCCGGCACAGCTCTGGGCTCTGCCGCGTCTCCTGGGAGGTCATGGGAAACCCCTGCCAGATGCCCTGGGATGCCGGAGCACAGCTGAGCGGGCTTCCCTGAGCTGGGAACGCCCTCTGGCCAGGCCCTGAGCTGCCACTCATAGGCTCACAGGCCTGCAGGCTCGCGTGGCCAACAGCAGGCAGGGGCCTGTGAAGCTCCGGATCGGGTCTGGCCGCCCTCTGCCCCTCCTCGCTCCAGCTCCTGCCCTCCCAGCCCCTCCGCCCGCCTGCTTCCTCCCCC